CTGAGTCAACCCTGAGCCGGTGAGATTTGAACAGCCGAACTGCAGAACTGCAGTCAGCTGAAGTAGCCTGCAGTGCTGCATTTAACCACTGCGTCACCTCGGCTCTATGCTCAGTTATTGTCTTATGTTTAATAGTTTCAATTAGTACTCTTCTATCCATTGCGACCACCAGATAGAAAAAGTAATATGAATCACTAAGCTACTTCTAATAGGCAATAATAATTAAAATAAACATTAGTAGACTTTAATGGCTGAACTGAAGGAGGAAGATTTAACTCCTCTGATAATGGTGAAAAAATTAAGACTAAGCAGAAAGAGTCTGAATGTACCTTAGTTGAACTGTGGAGTCCTTGGTGTTCTCTAAGCTTGGTTGTTTGCCAGCAGACAGTTCATTACCCAATTAGGTAACATTATCAGTGCCTTTGCTTACAGACATTGCATTGATGATGTTACTTAGTTGGGTAATGAAATGTCTGCAAGCCAACAATCAAGCTCAGAGAACATCAAGGTAAGCAAAAAGGGAGAGACAATATATTTCATTGCTTGGGAACTTCACAGAAAGTTAGGAAAAAGTGATTAAAAAACTAAAATGCTAGGTAAGAGCATAGAATTCTAGCATCCTTAGCGGTAGTCCTCGACTTACAACCACAATTGACCCCAACGTTTTTGTGGCTAAGCGAGACATTTGTTAAGTGAGTTTTGCCCTGTTTGAAGACCTTTCTTGCCACAGTTGTTAGGTAAATCACTGCAGTTATTAAGTTAGTAATATGGTTGTTAAGTGAATTTGGTTTTCCCATTGACTTTGCTTGCCGGAAGGTTGCAAAGGGGACCACGTGACTCTGAGACATTGCAGTTGTTATAAATATGAATCAGTTGCCAAGCATCCGGTTTTTGATCATAGGACCATGAGGATGATGCAATGGTTGTAAGTGTGAGAAATGATCATATCATTTTTCTCAGTGACATAACTGAATGGTCGTTAATTGAACAATTGTAAGTGGAGGACTATCTGTATATTGCAGGTTTCATTTTTTTAAACTATCTACTAAAATTGTAAATCTGATTCATTTCTATAAGCCAAGGAAGTGTAATATTTATTTTGCTATGTATTTCTTTAAGAAAACTTATATGGCTGCCCCACACACTCTCAGTGACTTTGGGTGGCTTACAAAAATAAATTTAGGTATTTCTCGGTCCGGTAATCATGTGTAATGAAAAGGGGGATGAGGAAATGCTTTTTGGGAGGACAAAGCAAATTGGAAATTGAATTTCATTCAGTTTTCTCTTAATATACAGTATATCACAGAAGTGAATGCACCCCCTTCACATTTTTGCTGCCAGCAGTTTAGACATTAATGGCTGTGTGTTGCATTATTTTGAGGGGACAACACATTTACACTGTTGTATAAGCTGTACACTCCCTACTTTACATTGTAGCCAAGTGTCATTTCTTCAGTGTTGTCACATGAGTGACATTTAAAAACTAGCATTTAAAATAAATAATCTATAGTTCAAGGCAATACATTCCTTGCTTAAAGGAAAGAAATAACCTAGGACTCGGAACACATTTGTCTTTATGAAGGTAGGAATGGATCTTGCAATGCAGAAAATTCCCTTCAGCTTTATCTTATCTTGTAGACTTTACTGAATACATCAAAGGAAATTGAATGTTACCTCATCGGCATTGCTGCAGGACCGGAGAACCTTCCTTCTAGAACAGAATTTTTAAGACATTTTCTACATGTTACTCAACTCCATCATTGACTGTGTAATCCATTGTGGATATTCCAGGCTCCCTTTGAATTGTGAGGTCAAGCAGCAGCAATAGCATTTAGACTTAGATACCATCTCATAGTGCTTTACAGCATTCTCTGCCCCCAACAATCTGGGCCCTCATTTTACCGACCTCAGAAGGATGGAAGGCGGAGTCAATCTTGAGCCCTGCCAGGATCAAAATCCAGACTGTGGGCAGAGTTTGCCTGCAATACCACACTTTAACCCCTGCTCAGGAAAGGTAGGTTAAAAGACTAGAAGAGTAATTGGTTTGGTGGATGGACAACTATATAAATTGGATAAATAAATAAACGCCATGTTAATCTGTGGCGGCAATCTTCCACACAAACCTGCCCTAGAAAGAACTCTTAATGGAATCGTCGTCTTTCAAAAACAAAAAGTTATTGTAAAGAGGCAAATATAAGAGTATTGAAGGTTGCAACAATTGTGCTTGAAATTATCCATAAAAGATAAAACATCTGAGACCCCAGAGAGAGGAGAGGCAAGGTACAATCATATTACAGGTACATCATTTGCAGAAAAGATCTCAATGTGCTGGATAGTTCTCCAAAACCTGACCTACAAATGCATAAATCAAAATAAATACAAAATTATAAGCATGTTTGATTGATTTGCAAAATATGTTCCCATCACAAAATCTAACTTTTACTGGTGAAATGTTTTTAAAGAGTTAAATCATGTATTATCGGTCGAAGGAAGCCAGGTGACTCATTTTATATTTTATTTCTATTAAAATGTTGTACACTACAGCTAAAATTTTAACATGTAATTCTTAAAAGTTTGTTTTGTTTTTACCATTTTAGGATTACAAAAATCTACTACATATTTATCCAGTGTTTTAAAAGGCAAAATTGGAATACATAAATATACATTTAAGTATAAATACAGTAAGAAAATAAACGGATGTAGTGTTTAATAAATTAATCATAAATAGAGCATTGACAATGAAGTGCTAGTTGAAGAAAATGTTTTCTTCTGATTTCTGTACAACCTTATTATATACAAGAACTTTTTAAAAAGAATAATGTCCCAAACTTTATTTCAAATTTCCAAAATATAATTATTGAAATCTTAACTTGTAAAATGTCATACAGAAATATATATATATAAAGTCCTGCTAAATGTCTATGGAGCAGTGGTGAAATTCAATTTTTTTACTACCGGTTCTGTGGGTGTGGCTTGTTGGGCATGGTATGGCTTGGGGTGTGTGGCTTGGTGGGCGTGGCAGGGGAAGGATACTGCAAAATATCCTACTCTAGGGCCAGCCAGAGGTGACATTTGCTGGTTCTCCAAACTACTCAAAATTTCTGCTACCGGTTCTCCAGAATCTGTCAGAACCTGCTGGATTTCACTCCTGCTATGGAGGTTCCCAGTCTTACAGGACCATGGTTGTCCCAAAGTTGTTGTTTAAAAGGCACTGAAAGGCAATTCTACTTTTCTTGGTTTTTTCCTTGAAAACATTTTGCTTCTCATTGAAGCTTCTTGAAAAGTTCTGAATAAACTTTTGGATGAGAAGCAAAACATTTTCAAGGCGGGGGGACCCAAGAAAGCCAATTTGTACAACAAACATTTTGGGAACTACTTCTAACTTTAATGTGGATTATATTGCATCACTTTCATTAAGAATTTAAAAGAGCCTGGATTACATCCAAAGCATCTCCTATATGAAATGGCAGCTTTTATCCATTCGGCCTGCCTTCATCAACCTGGAGCTATTGAGGTGAATCAGGCAATGTCTGAGAACTCTGGGAATTTCAGTCACAGCACATCAAGAAAGTAACTTGTTGGGGAAAAATGTACTCATCTATATTTGTTGACAATTAATGTTACTTTCATTAAAAAAAAAACAATTACGTAGTAGAAAGTCTGGACAAAGTTATCCAATCTGTAAGTGAATGATTAAAACTGAATATAGAATTTTACTTTTTGGTATTTCATTTTAGTTTTAGAACATTATCCAGTAAGCAAAATAGGCATTTGGTGTCAATCTATAGAGAAATCAGAATGATTTAGCTGCATCATTTTTTCCTTGTTTTCCCAAATAGCAGCCTAACCAATTTTGTTTTTTCAAAAATTTAGCTCTTCACACAGTTGCAATTGTTCATGAACAAACTCACATCCCTGGAAAGTCTTTATACCATTTAGCAACAAACATTGTCTTGCTAATAAAACATGACAGCGATATTATTTAATTTCTCCTATTAGTTGTGGTTTATATTACCTTAATTATGATAATTACCTTCTAATAGCCAATTTCCTAAAAAACACAGTCTGCAAAACATAGTGTGATCTAGCATGTGTAAAAAATGTACAAATCCCTTTTGTTTACTTAGTTGTAGCTAATTTATTTCTAACACTATTCTGTTTAAATACATTGAACAGGAATTACCCATTCTTTGAGTGAACAGCGGGGACTCAGAGGTAATTGGAAGTAATGAAGCAGTAAAGTTTTTATGGGTTTATCTTTCCAAAGATCTTCCAAAGCAAAATAAAATCTGCAGGCTTTGAATGTTTCCCATTCCTAAATAAAACATTTAGAGAGAACTTTTCTAACTATTTTATAGATGAGAGAAAAAGAGGGTGAATGAGTATAGCTTTTTTGGAATTACCAAAGTAGTATTACTTTATGAAGGTGGTAATAATATGTATATGTTTGTCATGTTTTAAGTTATCACTTCAACAAATCCTAACCTCTTGATAACATCTCTATAAAATCTACCGGTAATTAACAAAACAGAAATTACTAACCAAAACTAGGACTTTGTACTAAGGATACTTCAGAAGTGATACCAAAGGGATCCATGCTGTCAGTTTCAACTGGTTGGTGAAAAATACCAGATTCCAAACTTTGCCTGGTATCACTATATTCTCCAAAATCTGTAGTTTCCACTGGCATACTGTTCATCATAGGTAAGAAATGAGACAAGGGAAGAAAATCTTTCCCTTTGTATTGTTGTCTTTGCCTGGCGTTACTTAAAGACACCAAGATTCCATATTTCTTTGACTTGTAGATGTTGTAGCCATCTGGACGTATCTCCTCTTCAAATGAGCAATTCTCTGTGGTATATATAAGCTGAAAAGAAAAGAAAAAGTAAACATTACTACATATTGCATGCGTTTATAAGTCTCTTAAATGGCAGATGAAGCAACATTGTCCAAATAATCAATGGAATTATCTATTTCGCTACATGATAATTAAATATGATATTCCTTAGAAAGATTAAATTAAAGTTCTTATTTTACAAGGCTAAAATGATCTTCAAGGAATCTCAAGAAGAAACAGAGGAAGTATTTATAAATTAGGTAATAAGAAATATTTATAACTAATTATAGTTTGTAACGCAGGGTGGTTCGGTAGCTAAGACGCTAAGCTTGTCGATCAGAAAGGACAGCAGTTCGGTGATTCGAATCCCTAGTGCCGCGTAATGGAATGAGCTCCCGTTACTTGTCCCAACGTCTGTCAACCTAGCAGTTCGAAAGCATGTAAACATGCAAGTAGAAAAATAGGGACCACCTTTGGTGGGAAAATAACAGCGTTCCGTGCACCTTCAGCATTTAGTCATGCTGGCCACATGACTATGGAGACATCTTCAGACAGCATTGGGTGTTCGGCTTTGAAAGAGAGATGAGCACCGTCCCTTAGAGTTGGGAACAACTAGCACATATGTGCGAGGGGAACCTTTACCTTTACCTTTCCTTATAGTTTGTAACAAGTTACTAAGGAATGGTGATCAATTTTACAACAAGGTTCATTTTGATTTCTCCAACTTATTTGATTGGAAGGAAAGAAATATTTTTAATTCCTGATTGCTCATCAAGCAATTTATTGCTCACGTGTTGTTTTCACTCTGCATAAAAAATAAAGGAATTATCATAGTTCAATGCTTTTGTGGGTACTAATATCTGCTGTGGAAAACAACAAAGAAAGTTTCATAGTAAATGAGACTGGGGCATGATAAAAACGTTGTCATGCAAGACTTAATTATGGGTTAAAGTACTGAATGAGTTTCTTTTTTTAACCACCTAATGGGACAAATAAGCAGTGTCAATCTGACTTACTTGTGTCCCTTCAGTATCTCAGTTTGGCATCTGCTTAGATCAGGTAACTTTGAGATATTTTGAGCTTCAGTTCTCAATAGTTTTAGCAGCATGGCTAATGGTAAACAATTGTTAGAATTGTAGCCAAATCTGGTGCATACTAGTTTGTCAACCCTTGCCCTAGATTATAAGGAGGATTTCTATATTTGATAAAAAAACACAGACGCAAATATTTGAATTATGCGAATAATGGAATGAAGATTGTTCTGGGCTTATTAGCATAACGCTCTAGTGTGGAATTAAACCTGGAAATCTTAGCTGCAGCCTTCAAAGTCAACAAAAGCCATTACCAAAATTATTATGTAATGTAACAGAAATAGAAAACTGTTAAATACAATGATTGGAATTAGTTGTATCAATTACATTTTATTTTTATTAGCTATAAATAAAATAATATAAATACTTTTGGCGTATTCAGATTAGCTGCAAACTTTGGCCACTAAAATTGCCAATTGTATTCAATGATGCCAAAGTAACCTTTGCACAATAGTTGCTTAAGGACAGTGCCATCCAGCCATTTTTACAGTTGTAATGGGTCTATTTCTCAATACATACTCCTGGACAACCTAACAGAAATATAATAGTCCTCAATTTACAACAGTTTGTTTAGTGACAGTTCAAAGTTATAATGGCATAGAAAAAGTGACATGTCCGTTTTCCACACTTATGACTGCTGATGCATCCCCCTAGTCGTATGATCAAAATGCAAATGCTTGGGAACTGACTCATATTTATGATGGTTGCAGTGTCTCAGGATCATGTGATCATGCTTTGTGACCTTCTGACAGGCAAAAGCTAAAGGGGAAGCCAGATTCACTTAGCAACCAGGTCTTAACACCTGCAGAGATTCAGTTAACACCTGTGGCCATAAAATGAGGCAAAACTTAATTAACCATCTCACAACAGAAATTTTAGGTTCAGTTATGATGGGAAGTCAAGGGCTACCTGTGTAAGTTGTTGGGGGAGAGGGTTTGCCTTTTAAGAAATATACGTTTTATGTATGTATTTTCATTTGGTGGGAACCACAATGCCTTCCCATGAGGAAATTCCCACAGACTTTGTCACGTAACAAACTTCAAAAATCTGGACAATCACTGGAAAGTCGGAAAGATCTTTAGAAAACTCTCTTTCCTGCCCTTGCATGCTCATTCTTGCTTTTCCAACCCATATCTGATAGCCCTAACTGAACTTCAGTCCTCCAAATTACTGGACATTCTGCTGGAAACTAAGACCCTGGACATCTGGAGAACACCAAACTGGGGAAAGCTGCAATAAAAATCCTTTGGTGATGTAAATGGAACAAATATATTTTATATTCAGAGCAACAGAAACAAAGGTGTCCATTCTTAATTCAGAAATGTTAACACTATGAAGAATGTGACTATCATTTCAGAAAGTTTTAGTCTCTTTGTGCCACTGTTGTTTTTCCTAAAACTCTGGTGTTACTCTGGTTCAGTCTTTAGAGGTAACTGAACTCTTGGTCAATTAAAAAAAGTATTGCTGATTACGCAGACTGCTTCAATGATAAGAGAAAGGGTGTTCTTGCACAAGCTTTCTCAGTCAAGCATCTATGCCATACGTTTATCTGGCATACAAAACAGACTGAAAATCCCATCACTTATTGCTGAGTATTTTATAATAGAATTCCTTCAGAGAGTCACATAGGCTTCAAATATAGGTTCTTGCTTCTTCACCAATAGATTGGGTGGTCAGTCATGTGGAAAACATGTTTTTACTCTTTTGTCAAGATTAGCAACAGCTTGAAATGTGAAGTTGCCGTCATGACAATTCACTTAATAGCACAACTTTGAAAATCAGTACCGTGCTTTGCCACCATTGTGATTATGGTAGGAATTGAGGAGGAAGTATGCATAAATAGTAGTGCATGCCCTACAATAAGCTGCAGTTTAAAAAAAGAAGTACACCCAAAATTCCTCCCACCAACACACCATAAACGCAGGGGAAGAAAGAAAATCATGCTCCAAAATGTTAGATGAAGACAAGGGAAAATCTGATTTAAAATCCTGCTTCAGTTATGGAAGATCACTGAATATTTGGGGCCGTTCATTATCTTTTAGGCAAAACTACATTGCAGGCTTGTAAAGAAAACTGGACAAGTGGGTGCTGCATACACTTATTTTAAGCACTTGAAAGAAAGGAGAAATATAAGCAATAAATAAATTGTCCCAATTATTGTTTTGGTGTATAGGGCTATAGCCTGTTTTATTGTATTGATTCATTGATTCATTAAAATAAAAACAAGCTCACAATTCAGAGTTTGATTGAGTGTATTTAGTGGTATGCTTAGCAAGATTGAGTTCTAAATAGATATAATTGCACAAAATTACATAGATAAGCAATACTTTGGGAGGATACATGCTAATCCTTATTTTAATGAGACAGCTTTGAACAATATTATTGTTATTTTACAAGCAGAAAGTATGTCAGATTTGAAGCCCACTGTTTAAATCTCGAGTTACTATTGAAAAGTTAACTTTTAGTACACTACGTATTTTCATTTTTGAAAGGAAGTGAATTTTAATGTAAAAGGCAGTGCATTATGAATGGAAGCAGTGATAGTAATTATCTAAAGTTATACCTTTAAAAGCACGTAAGAAGCGTTATATGTATAATGTAAGAATGCCCTTCCCAGCCAAAAATAAGCAAAAATATTGCTGTGTCATAAGCATTCAGTCCTTGGAAAAGCAACAGGATTAAAAAATAACTGAAAATAGGAATTTTTCTTGCCCTGTTCAGGTTAGTTGAATGAAGGCTCCAGTTTAATGTACTGCAAGTTACTGTATTTTTATTTTCCAATTTGAAATTGCATTAGGAATATTGATTTCAATAGGACAGAATAATGCTATGTTTGGGTTCTATTGAGAAGCTACATTTGGGTGATTGAGGGAGCTATGTAACACTGATGACCATTGCTACCTATCAGTATTTCCTAGGGTATTTATATCTTTATTTATACTTATTTATTAATAAATCTTATACCTAATATCTATACCTGGTGTGGAGAAAATAGGGGAAAGGACCCAAACTATTTATGTTAATGTTTAAGTGCTTCATTCATTAGCATTTATAAAAAAAAAAAATCTATAACACTGGCCATTTGGACTTTTTAAAATCTAAATAAAAGGAGTTCCACAGCTACATCTAGTCTACTGTTCTGCTGCTCAAGCCACTATATAGCACATTAAAGGTAAAGGTTCCCCTTGCACATATTTGCTGGTCGTTCCTGACTCTAGTGGGAGAAGCTCATCTCCGTTTCAAAGCCAAAGAGCCAGGGCTGTATGAAGACGTCTCCATGGTCATGTGGTCGGCATGACTAAACACCAAAGACACACAGAATACTGTTACCTTCCCACCAAAGGGGGTTCCTAATTTTTCTACTTGCATTTTTTATATATCACATTGCTGTGCTCAAAGGTTGAGGTAGCCAGAGGCAAAAAGCATTCTGGAAATTCGCAAACACCCTGCCAGCTTCTGTTCCTTATTTATCCTGCTTGCTAGACTGCAATGCTCCCCTTTCTCCAGGCTTTTTTAAAAATCGGATTTCAGAGTGCCACACCTTGCTGCAAAGTTCCAGATGACCAGCAGATGGTAGTCAATAGTTAGCTTTCCGCCCTTTGGATTCTGCTGTAATACCAACTCTTATCTAGCTCCTATACAACTCTGCTTGCTACTAACACAATGCAAAGGGAACACAGTGTAAAGGGACTCATTAATTGATCAGAAATAGCACCTAACTTTTATTATTTTCTACCTGGCCCCTTCTTCAAGGACATAATCCACCCCTTCCATAATATTAAAGGAGGATAACCAACAGAAAAGCTTTGTGAACCTATTTCCTTCTGAAATAGAAGGAAACCACGAGCAGAGGGAGATGACACGATTCAATAAAGAACGCGAGGTTCGGATTCTTTTCTCCATGCCAGGGATGGAGAGCTGTATCTGGATGGACCCACACAGAAATCGCTATCCAGCCAGCAAGCTTAGTGGGTGGCCTCTCCAGAGATTTACGCGCTTATTTCTCCGCCTCCCCTCCTTCAAAGGTTGCCGTGAGGACAGGACGCGATAAGGATCTATCTTCTTGCCTGGAGCCCCGAAAACAGGTCCCCAAAGAAACGTAAACAAATAGTAACTCTGTAGCCGTGTAAGTTGTGGAATGTGGCTGAGCCCGCCTCTAGGCTGCCGGCAGTGGCTGCAGAAGTAGCGCCCAAGACCGTTGCTTCTCTTTCATCTCCACTATTCCTTCTAAAAAACCCGTGTAAATTATCAGTATCCTGCAACACTTGGCGGTCCTGTGTGAAGCCCCCCTTCCTCCTCTTCTTCTGGCGAGCCCAAATAAACTCCTCCTTTCGCGCTGCAACTTTTGCTTTAAAGAGCCCCTTTGCTTAAAAGCGCGCCCTTCTTGGCGCAATTTGACCCAAGTCCCCGCGTGGGTCTCGCCTGGTTGGGAGCGGAGACAAAGCCCTTCCCGACCGGGAGGAAAGGAGACGTAAGAAAAGGCTTAGCCTGGCCCCGTCGTGTTTTTTTTTCTTTTCTTTTACCAGTTTAGTCACTCACCCGCCCGTGCAGCTTGCCTTCCTCGTCCATACACAGGTAGCGAGAGCTGTGCACGCCCTTGATGGCCACCGTGCGAAGCGCTACTGCTCGGATCTCCAGCAAACCTGCCCGGGCGGGACAAACAAACCGTTGTACGATTAATGTACTCCGTGGGAGGGAAAATTGCCTTCGGGGAAAGGAAAGGATCTCTCCCCCCCCTCTCTCTCCCCACCCCAGATGGGACAGAGCGAGCCAGTGGCGGATTAAGACTCACTGGTGCCTTAAGCACTTATAAATCTTGGTGCCCCTTTGTACATACTGTACAAATTTTCATTGGTTTTTTCTTTCTTTCTCATCTTTGTGGTGCCCACTTTGGGCTTGGTGCCCTAAGCATCATCCCTAGAGCGAGCCCATGGACAAAAGCAGGGATCTTTGTAAAGAGAAGGAAGCAATTGGGTGGAGGGTGCCCCTTCCAAAGTCCCAATGCCCAGGGTTATTTCAGGATCTGGGTTGTCCTGGCGTCTCCGAGAGCGCAGGTTCAAAGGGGCCACGAAAAAGGAAGAAGTGGAAATGGCTTGGGTTAAGACGCAGCGAGTTGAGGGAAGCCTCCCCGCTTCCAAAAGTGGGGGAGGGACGGGATGACCTGCTTGAAAGCGGGAGGAAGGAGCCACGTCGGAGCGTTGATGCTACTTACTGTATCGGCTCTGAGTAGCGGCGCCGTCCACTCGGCCGTCCTCGTGGATCCTCAGGAAATAGCTGAAGAGTCCGTTCCGGCTGGGCGTGTAGAGATGCCTGAACCGGATAGGGTCCCCCCAGCCGTAGTAGACGTGCGGTCCAGCATCTGCCAGAGGCACCGACTTGACGGCCGTAGCCAAGCAAAGGCCCAGCAGAGCCAGGGGCGCGGCGCGGGTTTTGCAGACCTCCATCCCCATCCTAGCAGAACGTGCGGCTGGGGGTGGTGTGGGGAACGGGGATGAGGGGGGGCGCTTCCCTCCAAGCCGAAAGACCGTAAGCACCGCGCCGCGAGGTTCCTACGCTAGGGTGGACGAAGAGATGCCAGCCGGGGGAATGGAGGGGCTTCGGGAGCGAGTGTCGGAAGCCGCGGGCGAGCCCCTTCCTTTTATAGCTCTCGCTGATCAGCCCAATCGATAAGGCGAATACCGATTCCAATACAGACCCCCGCTCCCGAGCAAGTGCTCCGGCCAATTCCCGCCCCGTCGTATTGATCTGGATGACATCACTGCCCTGGGGGACACCCTTCAGGCTTCAGCTTCTGACCTGCTCTGGGACGAGGAGCTCGCATTACAAGGGAGCCGGGATGGCTTTCCAGATCGCCAGCACTCTTCCCTAACTCGCCTCGCCTTCTTGCCTTGGATCGGTCGCCGGTGGGATTCTCTTTCCCAGGCCTCTCTTCCTTCCCCTACCCGATCCGTTGACGTCCCGAGGGGTAAAGAATAGCCACAGCCGCGAGATCGGCGTGCAAAGCAAAAGTGCGGGAACCTCTGGAGAGAGAGAGAGAGAGAGAGAGAGGGAGAGGGAGAGGGAGAGGGAGGGAGAGGGAGAGAGAGAGAGAGAAAAGAGAGGGGGGGAGAGAAAGGGAGCTGAGAGAAAGAGAGGAGAGAGAGGGAAAAGGGGGCTTTTTACGAAATCGGACCCCTCCCTACAAGATCTCACTCATCCTTCCCTCCTCAAAAAGCCTGTTTGTCCGGGAAGGGATTGTATTCGTGTTTTGTTTTGTTTTTTTCACACCTATACACTGTTGCGTTCAACCCGCACAAAACTAGAGCTTTCTTTCCGCGTGGGCATCTGTAGAAAGAATATAGGAGCGAGGCAAGGACGGGTTGCACGTTTAGAGACCACACATTTCGGGGGAGGAGGAGGAGGAGGGAGAGAAGAACTGCGGGGCGATTAAAGGAAGTTTAAATCTGAATGCAATTGCCAAATGACCCGGAAAATCGCCTCCCCCACAACCCACCTCCAGCCGTCTTTGTTCCCCAAGGTGCCCAAGCGCGTCGGCTGATGCAACAGCGCTTTGAATTGAGGAAAGCTGGAAAACGAAGAGCAACATCTGCAGGCAGCCCGGGAGAGGGGAAGGGGCTGCTTTTAGGCTACTTTTTGAGTTTTACAGTCGATATAAAGGTGCTTTAAAAAAAAAAATCCATACATACCAACTGTAAATTAGCTATCTCTGTTCTTAGCTGTATTGTTCTTGAAGATCAAATCTTATATATATTTGCAAAAGAAAGCTCAGGACCGTAATTGGTTGAAAACATGTGGAAGAGGATGGACAATCCTGCAGTGGCTGAAATGGACAATAGTCGATGAACAATGGCTAAAATTATGGTGATGATGATGATGTGTGGGAGATAGATAGATGATAGATAGATAGATAGATAGATAGATAGATAGATAGATAGATAGATAGA